AGACCTCTCAGCAAAAACTCAAAATATTGCAAATCTACGAAACCAATAAGAATTCCTAGGCTAAAAGGCTCCAAAACAGGTAAAAGCTCGAGACTCAGTCAACATAAACGATTCTGAAAATTCAATCTGTGATAGCGAGAAGGAGAAGCCCTCTTTTATAGGTTAGCGTAAAGAAATATTCAAAAAAGGAAGATGTTCGAAAAAGTTTAAAAGATCCAAGTCATTATTAGATAACATTCAAACTGGATTCGAAGCATTTGAACTCCTAATTGAATCCTTCACAAGGCTTGAGTTCAAAAGCAAGGATGAATTACAACTATCCAAATGTAGGCAACTGCTTAATCAGAGTCGCTTATTTTAATGCCAATGGCATCAAGAAACGAGATTCTCGGCTTTCCTCATCAACAATAAGCCCCCGGGGATCGACGTAGATAACTCTGAGTAGCTACTGGCTAGCATCTGTACCTCACCTATCTCGGCCATGGAGGTAGGAAGTAAGATGGAGTAGCCCTAAACAAGTTTCTCCCGTACCCTGCTCTGAAGCACCGGCGATCCCTACGTGGTGACCAAAACATTGGGTCATTTACCATTGAGTTCAATGGGATTTGACGCGTTCGGATGTAAATATTTTGTAATTACGTCGTAAATATACATATAAATGTATATCTACAACACTTCAGAGTCCTAAGTATATGAAAACAACATATTTTTAAACAACATTTCTTCTGAACGGAATTAAATGCTATACCTAACATAACTGTCCTGTGAAAACACAGGACAGTTTTCTCAGAATGGTTTAATTTGAATGAAATATTTTCACAAGTTTTCGTTAATTACACTAGAAAAAAAAAATTAAGGTAATTCGATTTTATTCGGTTAAGGTACAAAAATTAAGATCAAAGTTTATTGTATTATTAATATTAAAATTATGCATTATTTCTTTTCTATTTATAGAGCTCCTTCCTAAAATACTTTCTTAAATATGACATGAATTTTTGGCTTCTGAGGCATCTTTTAAATCGAAAAATAATTAATTTATAATTAATGCTCTATTCGGTTCATTTGAAATTAGAGAATTATTAGGAATTAGAGAAATACTTTAAATAGTACTTGACTTTCTCTGAACATTTCTGAAAGGGAATAAAATAAGTTTTTTTTTTTTTTTTTTTTTTTTTTCTTAAAGTATTATTTAAAACTTGTAACTGAGTTATTGTAAAATGTAAGGGGAATAATTCTTTTAATTATACTTATCAGATTTTTTTTACCCTTCATTTCAACAATACATATTCCAAAACTCTTTATTATGCTCTTAAGTGCGCATCTCATAGCATTTGCTTTACAATACCTTTTAACAGATTGCTTTCCAATACGAACAATTCTTGCTTAAATAGCTTTATAACGTTTTTGTCAACAGGATTTCAATTTATGTTTACGATTCAATATTAAGGTTATTATATATTTAGATAACATTTATAATCATTATAAATTAGATACATTTAATAATTAGATTTCTTCACAGTACTTTCACAGTTGTTTATAAGTGAATAAATTCTTCATTTCAAATATATTTATAAATAATTTAATGACCTGCGTACGTTAAGAAGCCAGCATAAAACTAGAATTTCCGAGAAAAAAAAGACTTGCGTGGGAAACATTTTATCAATCTGGAATCAATAAGAGGACCATTCATGATCGGACCTCCTTTGGCAGGATATACAAATGTTTTCACCTCCGTCGATTACCCTATTTTCAAATTCTTAATAAGCTGTTTTGATGATGTAGCACGTTCACATGGTCACATCATCTTGACCGCACATGGTACTTCCGCCAAATTCGCAATTGTATCCCTCTTCTGTTCCACACATTTGTGTAAAACTGTACATAATTTTACACAAATGTGTGGTTCTCAATCTAGCGAAAGCTAACTTATTGGCATATCTGTGTGTATATTTATTAATTTTGACGAGGATTGCAGCATTTGATGGTAATTTTATTTTTAATTAACCCAAATAATTAAAACGTGTAAGCCCAAAGTGATTTTTTTTCAGATATATAAAATTAAAACGATGAGTTTAAAATGAGCATCAGTAAAGGCTCTAAAAAATTTTCAAAGGTACATGTTAAATAATATATGGATGTGAAAAAAAATTGTTTTATTTAAAACATTTTGGCGTTTGGAAAATAAAATAAAAGTAGCGAATACTCTATCAAGGGTAATGAAAGACGTATACAATTTTAAATAACATTTTTCTTAAAATCTATATTTTTGTAGTTCAACAGCTTAGAATTTTATAAAACAAATTCATAATCAAAATCGCTGTTGTTATTTATCGAAAAATAACCAAGATGTTGATTTTTGCGTAAATGTCACTAAACTATACATAATGCTATTATCCTCACACAATGAATGTTTCTTTCATGCGAAAGTGTCTCCTTTTTCGATTTGTATGGAACTGTCGTGTGTCGAAATACTATCAGAACCCTGTCAAGCGAGCTTCTGAATAAACAAAAAACCAAGGAGGTAGAACCTCCTTGCAAAAAGAACACCCCATCTGGTGACCAAGGCTTCAAAGCAGTGCTTCACTTCTAGTGCCGATTGGCCCCTCCTTCCTTTCCTACCTCCATGATCTCGGCCACTGGGGTATAAAATTTAGGAACTTGTTGGTTTTGAAGACTCCGGAAAGGTCAGTTATTGGCCAGCCCGGTTGTCTTGCATGTCCTACAGCGATGTGGCTCTAGTAGGCCGTTGGGCGACGTGTTCCAGACGGTGCGTCTATCTCTCCAAGGTGCGAGGGCGGAGGTTGAACCTCTGTGCCTGGTTCTGAGGGGTCAGAGGAACCTGTAGTACGGTTAAGTTTCGCGAAACAGGGAAGCCAGTAACTTACTTCATCAACAATAAGAAACCTAATGCTCGTCAACGAAATTCATCTCATACCATGCGATAAATTCTCCGCCTACAGCCTGCTCCACAAACTTGTAACAAAAGATGAAGCAAAAGATGAAGATTTGAACATCCTAATTCAAGTTTCTCAACAATTTGACGGTGATAAAAGTCCGATTTAAAAGCTAAAAGTTTCCTCCTGGTAAACTCTTGTACGACAAATGCGGAAGAACGAACGTTCGATATGGATCAGCCATGGAGTTAACGTTATCGGGAAAAACGTACTCACACATGTTCATCACGTTCACACCATATAATCACACAAGTTCTTCAGAAGTCTTTGACTTAGTATTAACAAAACATTTATCACAAATTTACTACCTTAGGATAACAAATGAACTGTCTTCCGATCATCTGTCAGCACATTTTTACCCCTATGGTCACGAACCCAAACCAATCTGGAAGAAACTTCAGAATAATGTCATTCGTATTTAATGCTCAATCAAATATCTTCATTACAACTGATGTGGAGCAGCCATCTATTCTCTTAACAAGATCATAGATGAAACCTCAGGACGATCGACGAAAGCGTCACCAAGTTAAGTTCCTCCTCACCTGAATTCATCTTTAACAAAATCAAAGAAAATATGAAAACAATATGTACTATTGTTTTCATATTTTCTTTGATTTTGAATGAATTCTCGACAAGTAAGTCCGAAAGATTTCATATTTTATCTCAGAACATAGATCAAGCTCCTGAAATATTCTGCTAAAAAACCTGGACTTCTATTTAAAATCTACGTGCAAAATCACCAAATCCAGCACCACTCATGTTTGGTTTCTCAGATGCCCTGCTGCGGCTGTATGTGGCGAAAACAGCCGTCAACACGTGCATGACTATCAAGAACTGCATAGTCTATCCCAATTATTATTTATCTTCAAAATGCGAAGCGATTGCAACTATGTCATTCTGCTTTTGGCTTCCTTACAATTTTAATATGTAGTACAATAAAAACAACTGAGTTTACAGCACAAGTCGAGATAAGCACCCTTCATTAATGGTTACAAAGAGAATAAGACAAGAGCTTCTCAGTCTAATATGAAATGAAAGGCACTAAGACAGTCATACTCTGTAAGAAGGCGAAAAGCAGCAACAGCCGATACACGACAGATTGAAATAACAGTCATATTAAGTACAGTGGAACCTCGAGATACAAACACCCCTGTATACGAGAAATTCGAGATACGAGAAAAGTATGAGCGAAAAATTCGTCTCGAGTACGAGCATTGACTCGAGTAACGAGTTAAGCTGTTGGTGTGCTTGGCATGTTTCCCGATCTGGTTCGACTCGGGGAATCCCCTCATCAGAGTCAGTGTTCTTTAATCTACGTGTTTGTGCGCTTGTGAGTTAATTGTTTTTTACATTTAACATGAAAATAATTATTTTATGATCTCTTCCAAGAAGCTTGTTGCCTCAGATAGTGCTGCAAAGAAAAGAAGAAACAATGGCCGTTGAAATTAAGGAAGAAATCATAGATAAACATAAGCGTGGTGTAAGAGTGACGGAATTGGCGAAGACTTACACGGTCTTCCGACATCGACGATCTGCACTATTCTGAAGAAGAAGGAAGAAATTAAGAAACTTGATGTGGCCAAAGGAGTTATCGTTGCTTCCAAGCACCGTCCAAAATTCCTAGATGTTGAGAAGCTATTGTTGGTGTGCATTAGCGAAAAGCACTTGAAAGGCGAGTTGGTGTCGAAAAAGCTATCATATAGGTAAACTATGGTTATATTACTTACCAGTGTAATTTATTAGAATAATTGATTTTTACGTTGATATTTTTGGGGTTGTGGAACGGATTACTGAATTTCTATTATTTTCAGTGGGGAAGTTTGTTTCTAGATACGAGAAATTCGCTATACGAGCTCAATGCTGGAACGAATTAAACTCGTATCTCGAGGTTCCACTGTACTAATTTGTAAAGTATTTGGATACTTTAATATACTTTGTAATACACATTCTATGTTGACATGTACTTGTAACATGTACACTGGCTAAAATGATGTGAATATAAGCATTAACAACTAATAAAATCTTAAGACAATAAAAGGCACGTACCAACATATAGCCATATCAGCAAGTTCTTCAAACTGCGGTATGGTGAACTTTGGCTCATTCAGCGAAAGGCAATTTTGGCACTTCATCTTCCAACGGTACTCGAACCTTTGATCTTTGAGATTTACTCTTATCCAAGAAAAATTTGACATCCATGTACGATGACAATATAAACAGCAATATTCACCTCGGTTATACACAATCTGACAAGCGTTATTTTGTCTAATATCTTGGGGCCGCAACTGGTGAGCCTGCATTCTTCTGTAGATAACTGCACTCAAGTTCTCATTTTCTAATATGGTTCCTGCCATTTTCTGGTTATGAATTCAGTTTCTGGAATGAAACACACGACTTAAAACAGGATGAAAAAATACCGTTTCCTTCTTACAAATTTGGTTACATTAGCGACAGAAGCGACGCTCACAAACTTATTTACAGAAATTTATACACCTTGTTTGCTTTAAGCTGATAACAATTATCAAATCAAAACTATCAGTCCGATATGGAGTTAAAGGCCGTTGAGGATACGATGTGTGTCTGTTCCTCCACCTGCTGATTAGATAAACAAATTCATCATTTTTCAAAGCTTGCAATAGTGGATAAATTTATTTTCTGAAATGAAACTGCATGCGCAATAAAATTTATACCCTGTTTAAATGGCATTCTCCCAAACTTAAAGAACTGTATCTTAAAATCATGCACAAAATATAGTTTATAGATAATTCAAGTATTCTGTAGCTTATAATTATTATTATTATTATTATTATAGCTTATTATTATTGTCTAATAACTAATATTTTAAATTTTATTCTGCTTCATATTTTGCTAATTAAGAATTCAGGTGAATTGCAAAGTTCCTTCTCCTTCCATCATTCTTTCCAAATTATTTTCCTCTTCTTCCAGCCGTAAGTGAATTCCTTTCGACAAAAGGTTTCATGAGACCCGCATAAACACTGAGACATGTAAATAGCCAAATTGACAAGCCTCGATTTCTTTTGTTTACTAAGCAAATATAAATATGGTAGCACAGACTGAGAACGTTGGTGCATAAACTCAAATCCTGTGCCACATAGTTAACACTTAGAGACTTGTGGAAACATCATTTTAATATTTTCAATTACGTCACTCTCATTAACAAAGCCTGACAGCAACTAACTTAAAGACCATGGAGGAAGTTATGGCCAGAATGAGTTGCAGGCAGACTTGAAGCACTTTGACACCTCGTATTTTTTGTTATTTATGATATTTTGTCTCTAAGCAAAACTGCGGGCTAGAAATTTAATAACGAAGATAAGTTACTAGACGACCATAAAAATAAGACCTGCATGAAAGAACTAACGCAAATTCAGAGGCAGAAACAAATGGCGATTGTGGAAGAAATGTCTTCAGAAGAAGAGGAAGAAAGAAAAATGATCCTACTACTACTAAGAAGATATAGTGAATTTGAGTTTCAGAAAGCAGCACCTCCTTATACTTTGTATCAGGGGAAGAACATTGGTAAAACAAAATGACAAAAATAAAAGTCAAGTGGCCGCCATCACTAGACGAATAAGGTGAGTTTCTGGTCGAAGGTCCAAATCAGTGAATTGAAGAATCTAATATGAGTAAAAAATATTAAGGATGGAGAATATCAGATGGATATTTGTGCTTTTGTCTTGGAAATAGAGAACATCTAAGAGAGTTGATGCAGTTAGATAGAGTTGAAACAGATAGGATGAGTGAGAACTGAACAGAAGAAATTTGTGTCACGTTTTTGAATACAATCTTGAATTGTGTCTACTTTGAGATCACGGTGAATATACGAATTTGAAATAAACTATGGCGCGTTGATAATCTCTCTGAGTGCTTTGTTTTGAAGAACTTGGATGTGTTGAAGGTGAGTTTGGCAGCGTGGCCCCAGACAGGACTAGCATAGAATAATGCTGGTCGAAGTATAGATTTATATAAGAGGAGTTTATTAGAAGCGGGCATATGACTTCTTCTGCCAAGAAGTGGGCGCATAGTTGCAAGCGTGATATTAATTTTTTTCAGAGTTTCCCTGAGATGTTTCTGGAAAGTCAATTTTTTATCAAGAATGACTCCTAGATATTTAACTTCGTCAACCCAGTCAATTTCTTCATCAAACAGAAGAGATCTAGGTGGTGTGAAATTTGCTTGTCCTTTGCGAAAAATTATTGTTTTTGTTTTTTCAGTATTAACTGCAATCCTCCAAAGAGCGAGGCAATTTTCTATATAATTGAGGTAAAGTTGAAGAAGGAGCTGGACAGTAGAAGCTTGGGTCATTGCAGTATCATTAGCGAAAAGAGCAATGGTAATTTGTGGATCTTTAAGAATATCGTGAATGTCATATAAATATGGTGAAAGTACAGATCCTTGGGACACTCCAGCGAAAATTTTTCTCGTGGAAGAAACAGAACTGCCAATTTTTACTGCAAAGATTCTGTCTTGAAGATAGGAAGCAATAAGTCTAATACAATGATCGGGGAAGTAAAAATGATCCTAGTTCTCTGTCATAGAATGTGTGTGAAATGGCGTATGATGCAATATTTTCACGTAAGGATATCACCCTGATAAAGCAGTAGCAAGCTAAAGCATAAACAATTTCAGTGACAATGCCATATCTTTATTTTAAAACATTTCCAAATGTAGGCAACAGCAAATTACATTGGACAAATTGTGACTGGAACAGAGGCCCAGTATCAAGTAGAGTACAGTGGTGCTTAGAGACAAAGCTTAAAATAAAGAAGATGCCTCCTGAAGAGAGTTGGTTTTATGGAAAAAATTTTGCATCAAAACAATAACACCTTCCTTACCGTTTTCCCTTTATGCAATTCACTCTCCTTTGTACAGGTACTATAAAATTAAATTTTTGTCTATAATATCTGTTTCATATTGTATTTATCTTTTTTTTTCTATTTAATGATTTTCACTAGTTTTGGGGTTTTGAACTTGTGCACAAAGTACTATTTTAAAGTTTAACTGGAATCCAGGAACGAATTAATCCATTTTATATTACTTCCTAAAGATAACATTGTTTCCGTTTAAAAATATTTCGGCTGGCAAATGAGTTCGAGAACGAATTAAATTCATGAAACGAGGTTTGACAGCATTCCCGTTCAATTTATTTCATAATCATATATAAAGTCATATTACCAATTCGGTAACTTGAATTAGCCTTGAATTTTTAAGTACTAGTAGACTAGTAGAAATAAGTACTAGTAGTACTAGTAGAAATAATGCAAATAATCATCTTATCAGCAACCGAAGAAAATTTTTGTAATAATAAAGTTCACAGCATCTGACAGAAGCTATTACAAATACTTCAAATAAACGACTATGTGTAAAACATTTCATACCATTTAAACACTCAGCGTAACTTTTGACGTCTTAATGCAATTTATAATGCAGAAAAGAGGAGTTAAAAAGGCATAAGTCAATATGCTATAATGATTAAGTCCTACAGTGCCTGAAACAGATATTCTACTGCTACTATTAAGAAATTTTGAGCCATAAGACTTGCTACCTGGTTGATTGAATCTGTTAATGTCAGAAACGTTACCGAACGCTATTAAAGAATCCTTTATTCGTTCTTTATGCACTCCCAAGATGCAAATTTTACGTTAAATAATGAAATTGCATTTCACAGAAGATCAGAACAGCTAACGTTAGTAACGCATACGTATCTGTTGTATTTAATGCAAAAGTTAAATTTCTGTCTAAAAATAGTATTCTTGTTACTACAAGAAAGAGGACTTACCGTAAAAATGCAAGTTGGAAAGAAAAGCCACGTAAATTCACGTTAAAAAATGCTTTAAAAACGAGATTTAATCAATAGCTCATAAGCTGCACTACCGGCTTAATGAAACAATACCGACGATCGGTAACGTGGACAACAAACAAACGTACTAAATCTGATAGCATTCACAATGCAAATCGAAACTTTTTCGTGGCGCCAACTTTGTGCGTTTCCGTAAGCAAATTGGGTCATCTCGTTATTGACCTTGAGTTCCCTTTTGAAAGCATGGGAGTAAAGATGCACGCGATCAATTATGCAGCCGGTGCTTAATCATGCCATGTTTGTAGTGGGTACTCTTGAATTAGTGTAATATTTATATGATCAATGAGTAATCAGCTTTTAATCTACACAAAGACATTTTAAAAAACGAATTATATTATGTTTACAAAGCGATAAAAAATTAAATATTCAAAGAATAGTCAAATTTTTAATATACGATGAGGCTTTCCTAACCCTTTCAATTCCGGGTCCAGCCAAGTTTGCTGTCATGTGCAGGTGGTCGTCTTAGAGAAGTAACGTTCGATACCTGTTCTAAGAAATATTTCCACTTCGAAAAACTGATCAACTTTTCAAGGGGATTTATATATTGTTGTGAATTTTGTATATATGTAAATAAAATTAAAGAAATTATATGCGAAATTGTAGTACTTTTTGTATAATGTAACATGAAATGCTTGAAAGAGACGAAGTTCTGCAAGAAAAATAAGATTATATAGGAGGTCTATTTAACACTAATGTAAATAGCTATCTCGTTAAATTGACGAGATATCTTCAAGCTGGCAATGGTCACCCTCCCAAGTACTGACCGCGCCCGATGCTGCTTGACTCAGGTGATCGGACTTGGGCAATAATTTTTGTCGCCAAATTTGGCGATAATTCCCCAATCTTGTCGATAATTTGGTCACATTTTGATCCGATCCCTGTATAACTGTAATTGGTATAATAACTGAGTAACTGTAAATTATTCATATATGTAACTAATCGTATTCAGCCCTCATATGCCCTCCAGTAATTTCTAGAAGTGGATGTTACTAGAGATTTCTTGGCGGCCGGGGAAAAACTGAGAAGACCGAGTAGAGCACCAGTTTAACAGCTGTTCGAAGTACTGAGACATCTCCATGGGAGCTTCGCCTTTTGAGATGCGCTTTGCATTGAAATGTGTTTAACATTCTTAGAAATTTGAAGTGTAACTGCTGATTGTACTCTGCGATACTAAGAAGAGTTGCACGAATATTTTTGTGGAAAATTCTAGAACATTGAAGTGTTTCTTTTGGTAAAATATAATTTATCAAGCTATCATCGATTCTGTGTGCATTCAATCGATTGCGAACAATATAAATGCTCATGTACAAGCGATTACTTTTTAGATTCGTAAAAGGCATCGTCATTTGTATTTCGGTTTCAAACTCTTTATTGAAATAAATTGGTCTTTGAGTTCTGCTATAATAAGGATAATATAAAACCTGACAGGTCGTGGAAACAGTAGCTGAGATGCAGAATGAAATATAATAATAATAAAAAAATGTAACATCATCTAACTATGCATTTATGAACATTTCTGTAATAAAGACACCGCGATTCTGGTCATGTATGGAGTCGTCTTAAAGTGGTGATATTCATTAATTATGCATGCTAATCAGGAACAGTGTTACTTTCAAAGGTGGTCGCCATGAAAGGTGTCACTGTAATCCCCTATCATTTTATCTTAAAATGTTGCGAATCTGCAAACTGAAATATGAAAAAAGAAAATATTTTAAAGTAAAAAGAAAATTTTTGAAAAGTTATATGACATGGAATTCTAGTTTAAAAAATGTGCAAATTTTGCAACAGCCAGAATACTGAAAAACAATGAAATTGATACAGATCATCAGGCATGTGCATAGGCCACTCTACAAAGAAAAAGATATTTATGTTTCAAATTTAATCAGAAAACTTCCCGTTATGGAAAGTGTGTTGCCATTCTCAATATATTTTTTAGCTTGCTAGATCGGACGGCGTAGCACCAGGGTACCACTGCGATTATATGATGCTAAACTACGTTTAAAGGTAAAATTTTGATTTATTTTCTTCACTGAAGTATTTAAATTTTTCACTTTCGGTTTCAATTCTTTAAACAAAATAGAATTCTCTTTATTTAAGGTACAAGATTCTAACTAGAATTTTTTTCCTTGCTTTGGGAAAGGGCAAGAATTTTCGATTGAACTATTATAATTAAAATACATTAAAATGGTTCATCCGCTAATTCTGGATACAGAAAAGCAAGGATTTTTGTAGAAGAGAGATTTCAATTGATTTCAATGTTTCCCCCCCCCTGACGAAGTGGCATTGAAGTTGAATTCCACTTCTGTTATGTTTTTTTTTTTCTTTAAATTTCCTTCAAACATGTTTTTGAATTGGGGTATTGACTGTTTAAAAGTTTTGGTTTTTACATTTATTAAATTCTCTTTTGCATTTATAAGACTATTTGAAATTTATTAATTATGAATTTCAAAATTATTAGTCTTTGTGAAACATTAGTTCTAAATTTCTTGCTTTATGTCTTTAATGAAAATTTTCATCAACTTAAGCGCCTAGGCATATTTATATATATATATATATTAAATGTTTTGTAATTATTTAGGAATGCGAGAGAGAATAGATAAATAATTTTAAATTATGGCCGATGTTTATAGGCATATCGAATGCCTGTTGCGAATTGATGATTTAAATCTTTATTTTATTTTTAATGATGTAACAACGTAATTTAATACATATTAATATCTATTTATTTGCAACATATCCAACTGATAAGTTTATGCAGCTTTATTGCAATTCATAAAAAATAAATTCTCGAACATAATCAATTCTTCGGATGTCCGAAAAGTTTCAAGTTTTTCCTGCAAGTTTATCTTAGTCAAATCGATTAATTTAAAAAGCAATACACATACTTCTGTAATAATTTTAATGTTTATTTTACTATTTTTATAAAGTATCTAATTTAAAATTAGGCGGGGGGGGGAACCTTCGCACTAGCGTAGATGTAGAATAAAATTATCGTTTTTTGTGGACGTTTTTATTCTTCAGGCGTAAAACATATAAAATCTAGAGTGCTTTTTTTGCCTAGACAGAAATGTTACTTAGGCTGGTTTCTAGTCCAATTAAATGTATCTACTTGGATAATAAATTAAAATGTGTTTAATTATAATACGTAATTATAATACAAGTGTTATGAATATTTGCAGCTTTGTTGCAATTAGTAAAAGACGCTTATAACGCTACACGCATGGTAACTAATGCATCTTTTCATTTTTTTTTTTTCTAAGAATAATTTACATTTTTTAAGTCTTCAAATATATATCTAAACTGAGATTTTGAATGGTAAACATTTCGTAGAAGAATTAAGACTTCTCTCTCTCTCTCCTTGTTTTAATCATTTATTTGCAGTCGACTTCTAGAGTGTTACAAACCTGTTAAAAGCATTCATGATCTAAAAATAGCAGTTGTTCCAAAGTATTGTTAACAGATCTAGAAGAAAGACCTTTTTTCGCGATTGACTTCATGTAATAATACGTTGCACTTTTATACTATGAAAGATAAGTAAAAAATATTATTCATCTTCAAATGGCAAAAATTTCTATTTATGTCGACAACATTTTATCGAAACTGAAAGTGACAACACGAAAAAAATAAATAAATAAATAAAAAGTGCAATAAATTACAAAAATTTATTATTATTATTATTTAATAATCCACTCTAAAAGAAAGTTACTAATTAAAATTATAAAGCACATAATGAATTCCTAGCGTAGATGGCATGCACATAAAAAGAATCTTCTTGAAGAAAAGAGGCACTCACTGTTCAGCACTGTTTGAGTAATGAAAAAAAAAAATAATAATAAATAAATAAGTTTATATACAATATGTTATTGCCTTTCTATTAACGTTTGTGAGTTATGTATTTGCCAAATTAAATGTGGTGATATTGTTTTGTTTATGGCAAAACCCGCTACGACTTATCCGCTTAAGGGAATGAAGAGGATTCTTGGAGGATTTTCTAAGGGAAACTATTTCGAACCCATGTCGCACGTGGGGAAAACCACGAAAACGTTTATGCAATCAGCCCGTTAATCTGGAATCGAACCCAGGACGAAATACCACCGTTCAGCTAGTTTATTGCTCGGCTGCTGATGACACTGTGGTGACATATTGTTGATATATGATGATATGGCAATGAAATAAATGGTGCAGTTGCTGGTAATCTTCTTAATGGTTTGCAATATAAACTATTTAGCATTGTAATCCGACAAACATTCTACACGATTTCAACTAAATTAATTAAAGATATTTTAAGAAAACTCAGTACTTTAGGGTGTATACATCCTTCAATTATTTAAAACAACAATATAAAATGAAACAAACGAACAAAAAATACTGCAGGATTTCAAGATTTATATTACGCTCAAAGGTTTTTTTTTTTTTTTTTTTCCCCTTCCCTCCCCTTGTTTACACATACATACACGTTTCGAGAGCATTTAGGCTAACGCTCCTTCGGGCTAAAAATATTAAAAAAACAGCATATCTTTAGAATTTAATATAGACAGTCTTGCGCGGTGGAAATAAAAATATTTTATTCCGTACATTGTGCTGCAACTGTTCGCTTTGAATTGTTGAGTTTCTTAATTAAAAATTCATTAAAGTTTTTAAAATATGAAACAGATAATAAAACGAATTCGAAATTCAAGATTCAGGCTTCCAGGTACCCCAAGGGGGCTTTTTTTAACGTTTTCTATGTTACGTTTATTTATTAAATATCATGTTCTTCGCACTTAAACCATAAAATTTTGTTCAACAGCAATATCGCAAAATAATTTTAAAATGAGCATATATTCGGAGGAAGACTATGTTATTCAGAATTTGATGGCTCTAGGTATCGTTGTTTTTTCACAATGCGAGAAACATACGTCCATACATCCATGCAGATTCTTCATTACTTACTTTTTTTAAATATAGTACAGGACGATAATATTTGGTGGCAACAATTTGAAAAGTGATACAGCCGTTTATAGTGATTCGACATAAAATGCCGTTTCAAAACTAATAGCCCCTCTGGTCTAATA